AAAAAACCCCAGTAAACTGCACCCCATAATTGAAGGCAGAGTTTGCTACTTCCGGCATGACTAAATGACTTTCTACCCCACCAGGACATCACACAAGCGATAAACACCCGATGACACTATGTGCCACCATGTGGGTGAGGATCGTCGTGGAGAGGTCCCAGAAACCCCATTTAGCCTTTAGACCATATTTATGACCAGGCTATATTGCGGCCCCTGGCTAGAGCCAGAGTAGGGCTTCAAATAACGAAAAATTTCATCCTGAAAAGGATGGTGAGACTAATCATTACGCACACTTCCGGCATGCCTATTTAGCGTTTGTTAAGTAATGCCTCATTGGTTTTTGCAGTTATTATTTATGCATAAGGGCATCCACAGTAAAACACTCTGGTAATCAAAGTTTGAAACCACATTAAAAACATAATACTATTTTAAAAAACAGACAAAAAGAAACGGTGAAGGCAAGCGGAAAAAGGGGTGTTCAGTTTAACACACAAAAAAATTAAGGGGGGGGGGTGTTAGAGGGAGAAGAGCATTGAGAGATGGACAAACGGCATACATGGGCAATAAGGAAACAATGTGAAAAACAGAAGCGCAGATAAGCGTGCTCGTGAGCGCGCGTGTATATGTTTGTGTGCGCGCACGTTTATTTCTCTGTATGTGTGTGTGAGAAAGAAAGAGAGAGAGAGAGAGAGAGAGAGAGAGAGAGAGAGAGAGAGAGAGAGAGAGTGTGTGTGTGTGTGTGTGTGTGTGTGTGTTTTAAATACAAAGAATGTCACAGAATGATAGACAGAAAAAGAAAAAGACAGAAAGGCAAAGAGATTCCCCGATAGCTTGGCTATAGAGATCACCGCCCCTCTACGCTGGACAGCTGGTTACTTCGTAGCCGTTTTCTGTTGTCCCATCATAACAGTTCTGTGTGGCTATAGGGTTCAACGGGATTTGTTCCGGTTTGATTCGCATCGCTGAGATGTTATTCCTACACCAGCCTCCCCCCCCCTGCCCCGGTGATGTGGGTTGGGGAGGGGGGGGGGGGCTTTAACAATATGTCATTTATGGGCCAGGACAAAAAACACTTCTTCTTTTCCTTCTTCTTCTTCTTCTTCTTCTTCTTCTTCTTCTTCTTCTTCTTCTTCTTCTTCTTCTTCTTCTTCTTCTTCTTCTTCTTCTTCTTCTTCTTTTTCTTCTTCTTCTTCTTCTTCTTCTTCTTCTTCTTCTTCTTCTTCTTCTTCTTCTTCTTCTTCTTCTTCTTCTTCTTCTTCTTCTTCTTCTTCTTCTTCTTTGCATTCACTAGTAACCCTTTTGGTTCCTTGCCTCTCAGGCAGATGCACTACGACTTTGAATCCAACGACCTGCTTGTTAGGGAGGCAGTGAGTCTATTCTTGCCCCCCCCCCCCCCTTTTTTTTTCCCCCCTACAATGGGGAACTCACAATGGGAATAAGAACACTGACTTGACCTATGATAATCGTGTAAGATGTCCAGACATGACAGCCTACACTTATCGGCGCGGCACATGATGAAGATGAATAGCATTCAGAGAATATACAGTCTGGACGCGAGAGAGTCTGTACAAGTGTCGGGGATCCATTGCAGCTAACCTGCATTGTGGAGACGACATTTGATTTATTTACTGATTGAATCTGTGATAATTCTTCTTCTTCTTCTTCTTCTTCTTCTTCTTCTTCTTCTTCTTCTTCTTCTTCTTCTTCTTCGTCGTCGTCGTCGTCTTCTTCTTCTTCACAACGAGCGATAAAAACACCATACTATTCAAATGAGAATCACCGGGCACAAATCTTAGAAATCACATTCAACCCTTACTTTATATTAAGGCGCACTACAACAGCCGGGTTGGGGGGGGGGGGGGCGGGGGTGTGTGCTTTTAAACCCCCCTCCCCCAAGACAAGAAGTATCCCTTATAAAGAAGGAGACGGGTTAACTCTGGTGGAAAGTTCTGGTTGTTGATCTAATTCTAGACTTTAGTCTTGTTTCAGAACTTGAGTTTAGTATGCAGATCTATTTTACAGATTAGGGTTATTTGTTTGCAGACTATTGGCTCCTCGCCTCTGGAGCAGATGCACTCTGACTTCGAAGTAAACACCCCTATATTATCAACTTATACGAAATAAATGTTAGAGGGATAGTGGGTCAATTCTTTTTCTCCCCAAAATGGGTCCCCGGAACCGACACGAGAACTTCAAAAGCCAGTAGATGACGCATCCTGGCAGTTTTTATTTTGAAATTACACTTCAGAAAAATCCTGGCAATAGTAAACACAACCTGTTTTCGATAACTATTGCAAAATTGTAGATTGCAGCGAGTTCATCATCGGGATTGTATAATACTTAATCACGGCACTCAGGACGATTCCACATCCATAGGCGCCCGTCTAGTTTAGCAGAGGTTGAAAAATTATCTGTTCTGGGAACTCATCTGGTTAGCTTGGGGAACTTTCTTGGCTAAATAAAATTAAAATAATTTGTGAACCGACCACAGTTAAGTGAGTCTGTCTACTGTCTACTCACTCTTGCTTATGAGACGGGACCTTACTTATTTTGAGTTTTAGTGCCAAGAAGATGGAGCCTTCAGGAGGGGATTCTCTTAATTTACACACCACAGAAATTCTGGTTCAGCATTCCGAAATAAAGCGCTAATAAACATATAAAACTAGGCCAGGAGAAAAGTTATGTCTTAACCTCACCTCCCTTAGTAGATGCAAGTCTATTTTAGTGCCTTGGCACACACTGATGCTTTGTTTGGACTTGAAACCTCGAGGCATCTGTGCCAACTAAATGAGTGGCACTATAGATGCTGTCATTGTATCAGGTCTAGGGCTGCTTATGAAACAGTGAATTCAAGCAACTGACTAGCGTTCTAATTTGTATGGCTCTGTTACAAAGAAATGATTAAGAGTTTCGGCTCTTCTCCGAACCTCTACCCCTGCATTATGGCGGCAACAAATATCCGTACGGGGCTCAGTTCTATTAAAAATATGCGAACTTCCTACGATAAACAAATCGCGGCAAAACTAGGATTACCTGACACTTTCAAGAGACGCAACACTGCGTCGATAGTAGCAGAGGATAATAGCGACCGTTGACACTTTTGAGCGTTTCTGCAGATGATACTAGCAGTTGATAATTTAGCAGCCATGAACAATTTCAAGACACGCAGCATTACTGATGATAAAAGCCACATGGCAGGGAGTCCACGTGCGCCGATGCAGAATAGCGTTGTCGTTGTCCTCAAACTTGTCGGCATGCCCAAAACGCGGTTGCACTCACCGCCGACAGTATCCCCCGTGACGCTACGCGCGGTGCAGATGGGTGGCTAAACTAGGTACCTGGGACTCACAAGCAAATAAATTAGAGGAAGTTGCATGAAATGCAGTAGCTGCTGCTCTTGAGTCCCAGACATCTAGTTTAGCCCCTATCCGCGCGTAGAGGCGCGGGGGATACGGTCGGCGGTGAGGCACAGTCACAGAAACAGGTCCGCGAGTAACATATCGCTGAAACCCTGTTAGAGCATTTGTTTCGTTATACGGAGCCGGCATATTTTTAATAGAACTGAGCCCCATACGGATATTTGTTGCCACCATAATGCGGGGGTAGAAGTTCGGAGGAGAGCCAGCGTTTCAAATATACATAAGAAAATATAGTGAAGTCTGCTAAAAATATGCAGTAGCTGTTGAATGTAGGGATTCGCACGGCTCTCTAGCGTAGTTGGCTAACCCGGATTGCCCGGAGAACGGGCGACGAACTCCTTGTGGTCCGGGTTCAATCCCGGGGGTAGGCAGGAAAGCCACATTTCTCCCAGATTTACAGTATTTACAATGGAATCAAGGCTGAAAGGTTGGGATATCCATAATACCGAGCCTAAGGGTTAACAACTCATGGCTTCTGGATACTAAAACAAACAAACAATGTAGGGATTCTTGCAGATGTGTCAAACATAGATACAACATGAGTTATTTTTGTTCTACGTTAACCCTTTCATCCAGGAAAGGTGCAAATCCATCATTTCTAGAATTCTCCAGGTCCCCATGAGTATTGCATACCCAGTATTTCTACATACGTTTATGAAGTGCCTAGTGAATGTCATTGGTAGTTTTTGCACCTGCACAGCATTTAAGAAGGTCAGAACAAGAATATATTCACTAAAAATAACATTTAGAGGAATTACTTATTGACCAGATATTTTTTTAAGCCATGTTGACATTCAATTTTCCCATAAGACTAGAGGTCATAAAGTCACGTCATGAGTCATCTGATACATATGTTGTCTTTAGCCCCCAGGAAGTGTTTTCTATTTTATGTTTCCCTGTTTTTTTAAAATTTAATTACTTCCTTTATATATTTTTTATAAATCAACAATTATTTTACAAATAAATTGTTGCAAAAATTACTCCTACTGGTTCATGACCCACATTTTTTTAACATTTCCGGGGCATAGAGGTGTTGACACTGTTTAGTTATGTTAACAGTCTAGCACAGGTCAGGGTCAAATCTTGATTCTGTTAGGAAATGGAATCATACCATGAGGCTCTGGCTCTGATCTGCAGATTGAAATTTTGAAGAGAGTAGCACAAAACTTTCTCAGGAAAGTTGAAACAAATAATTGAAACAGCCTGGACAATTATATAGCATGTTAAGAAGTTAGTCGAGTATCCTTTACAGGACATTGCAGAACCAACCCCAGCATTTCTTGGTTGTTGTTGTTTTTCTAGGCCCAGTTTATGCTCACTAGTTTGCTATTGCTTCTGAATGGTCAGCTCTCAGTACCGCTGTCGAAACCAACGCAAGACAAACCGTCGGCAGCTGAGATCGAACCGGGCTCCCCAGCATAACGAAGCGCAACGCCCATGCCACAGACGCCAACATATAGCATGTATTTTATTGATTAAAATTTTTTTTTTCTATTTTGCTGCATTTATTTTGTATAAGATTGATCCCATCTGTATATTTTTTGTGTAATGATTTCACAGAGAAACTGAAGCTCCGAAGAAATGGACAAGCTTGACCCAGAAGAGAAACATAAAATTGCAACTGTAAATAGAGAAAAAAGGTATTGCTTAAAATAATTATTGAAAAAAAGGAGAGTTAAACATGATAAAATGTTTCTGATTATCTTCTTCTTCTTCTTCCTCTTTGCGTTCACCAGCTGTAAACTCTGGTGAAAAGTTTTGGTTGTTCGTCCACTACTGGACTGCAGTCCTGTTCCAGAGTATTGCATGTGCATCCATTTTACAGATCTGACACATTTGTGTGCAGACTGTTGGTTCCTTGCCTCTCAGGCAGATGAACTCCGACTTCAAAGGAAGCTCCCAATTAGTTGACTCTTACGACATGCTTTTGGGTAGGCAGTGGGTCTATTCTTGTTTTCCCTGTAATAGGGCCCCGGAACTCACATGGGGTGTTTTAACATGTTCTCGAGGGGACTGAAAAAGTCAAGAGTTAGTCTTAAAACTGTAGTGCTGACTGGGAACTTACAGATGCACGGTCAGCCACACCTCTAGTCATAAACAAATCAGCCCATGAACACAGTTTCTTAACATTTTTACTTGACCTGCGATCAGTGCCTTAGCGCATGAATGCACAAGCATGTCTTCGACACTATATCATCAGTTGTACTCACGTTTTTTTACTCTGAACATTGTTTGTCATTACCTGGAGGAGACTTTGGCCAGGTTGTCTGTAGTCTTAGTTTCAGCTTCATAGCAAACAGGTCACCCCATAGTTGCTCCGCTCCTGTGCCAACAAAAAACACAAAAAATGTTTATCACAGTCCTTTGTGGAAAGATTGACAGACTGCTGTAAGGGGTCTTAGGCTGGATGTTGTGGTATCATATGCTAGGGTCTCCTGCACCAAAGGTGGTCATTAACTTTTGCTAAGAACCCTCAAGCACCACTTTTGCCTCTTGTAGAGTGAATCGATCAGTGTTTTGTTAGGGGATATTTCTCAATGGAAAACTGCACTTCACTCCATTTACTACCTGTAAATGCGGGAAACCATTAAAAAAAATCTTCTAATGAAGTTTTCAGCTTTATTAAATCATTTAAACTTTTGTATGATGATCTGTATATCTTGTCAACTGCATACTAGCCATGCAAAACACTGGTAGCCGACTGTAAGCTGCATATTATTTATGATAAGAGTGACCCTAAGAGTGGTCAGTGCAGCTTTCTGCTGGTTAAAGAACATGATACACACACGATACACACACACACATATATCGTGATTGTAACTGACTCATAAAGCATGCTGAGGAGGGTGAGGACATGTGTTTTTCGTGCAGAGTGGCATGCCTCACTTTGGAGGAAACGGGTGAGGAGCATTGTCTGGATCTTTTCTCCAGGGCATGCTGGTGTTTGTGGGAATTAACAGGTGGACAGACTGGCTGGCTGTGGACAGCTTGTTGGAATACTGATGCATGATAAGGCAGATATGGTAAAAGCCTTATGCGAGCATGTGTACAATTTGGAGGAGCAAATGGATCATCACAGTCTGGTGAGATTGGTGCAGCGGGAAGTGGCGAGAGGATCTGGCTGATACTCGATGCTCAGAGGAAAGGCAAGATGGACATATAATCAGACTGCTGTTGGTATCAGAACTCTGTGCTGGCTGCTGAGGGGGGGGGGGGGGGGAGTGTAGCGCTTATGGGAATACCCCGAGTGTTATGATGTTTTTGAATCAAATCATTTCAATGTTCACGCCACTGAGGGGTAAATTGATAGACACAATAAAGTGATTTGAAATCTTTTGAGGATGGCATCCACTGAGCTAATACTTTGTGCGGACAACTAAAGAAACTAATTATTAACTATAGCGTGAGAGGAAGGTGGGGACAAGATAAACTTTGCAAACTGGACATCTCCAGTTTACACATTAGGCAAAGACTGAAGACTTTCTCATTCACTTATCAGAAAAGGCAATCCAGATTAAGATAGATATTTTAAAATTTTTGTTTAGATCTCTCTTACAGAAAGCAGATAATCAGATGTTGTGTTTGCCTTTTAACGCTGTGCACATCTGATGCATGTTTGTTTGTTAATTTACAGAGATGCCCAGGGTGGCATAGGCTGGATGTACAAAGGTATTAAGCCTGACGCAGAAGAGTATCTTTTGGGCAAACGGCTTGACAAATTTATAGAGGGAGAAGAGGAGAAAAAAGGTTTGTTCTAATCATATGTCAAAATGGGTATAGAGTGATGAATTTGCCAACTGGAAAATGTAAAGTTAGGAAAGAGTTTAATTTGTTTTATAATGTGTTCATTGTCAATTCTGAAGGGGAAAGTTTGATTTTATTTAGGCTGCATGAATCTTCACTTGTGGAGAAAGGCACAATCTGCTCCGTGCAGTGGCAAACAACACTGCAGAGTCCTGGGTAGTTAATTTTCTTTGGATATTTTCTACAGGTTATGCTGGTTGTTAGGAAAATAGCAGGCAGGTAGACTGGCCGGTTCTGCACCACTTGGGGGTGAACTGATATATGGCAAGCTGGATGTTGTGGAGGGCCCCTAGGGAGCAGTGGGGAGGCACAAATAGATCATTATGGTCTGAGGAGAATGGTGCTGCGGGGAGTTGCCAGGGGATCTGGCTGAGGCTCAACACTCAATGGAAAGGTGAGACTGATGTACAGTCGGTCAGTACTGGCACAAGTGGAATTGGAACTCTTCACTGAAGATGGGGGCGGAGCGAGTGTCCCAAGTGCTATGATGTCGATTCTTAATTCATCATTTAATAGATCTTTATTTCAGTCTTAATATCATCATGCTGAAACCTAATTTTGTCCCCCATTGCCAGTACTTCAGAGTCAAGTAGACATTAATTGCTGTACATGGTGGGTTGTCACTATGTTTCCAACACAAGGAACTCTTATGTGTAGGTTGATCCTTGAGCATAAGGCATTCCTAATCAACCAATGGAGACATCTCTTACAAAGCACATTCATTTCCACCCTATTCTGTCAGTGACAGACATGGTCACTCACAACAAATCATAATAGAAAAATTAGCAATGATGGAAATGAGGTGTCTGAGAAAGAAGGTAGCAGTGATCCAGAAGAGATCAAATCAGGAGTGGGGTAATATGATGTAAAATCAGCACAGAGTCAATTCAAAATTACATACAAAGACAGCAAATGAAATGATTTGCCCACATTAAGAGAATGCCTTCTGATGTTATACACCATATAAGGCATATTCCAAAAGAGGTGAAGGACGTAGAGCAAGACGTAGATCAAGAACAAGGTTGGAAGATAACATCAGAGAAACTCTACAGCACCACGATGTGTCTATGGTTGAAACAGCCACAAGAACACAAAGTAGGACCTTATAACATCTCCCTCGACACCCAAAGTGGTAAAAGAAGACGTAAGGAAAAAGATTCTTGAGCATTGCTCAGGCAGCTTAGAGAACTTCCTAGGCACAGTCTTGGATACAGACTTGCACATGAAGAGACGGACATGATATGTGGCAAAGGGTCATCTCTCGGAAATATGCAAGGGCATTTCATTTTCCCCTTTGTATGTTCATTCATTTTAATAAACTGCAAAACAAGCAGTAAATGCTGAAAGTATACCATGTTGGGTGCATTTGATCAGTGTATTAGTTTATAGGCACAAGAATACATTGCATGAGTTGTAGAAAGGTGAACAAAATATTATGCTGACTTTAAAGTCATCAAAGGCAGTATTTCTTTTTTAGTACATAAGTAAGTTCTGTTCTGGTTGCTGGCCTAGCAGGACATGAATGGAAAGTCACCCAAAGCATTGTGATTTTTTTATTACAGAGCCAAGTAACTAGAGCCTATTGCGTAATAGTACAAAATAACTCATCTGTTTGCTCAATGCTATGGCATAACTTTCTTTCAAATCAGAGAGAGAGAAAAAAACATAATAATTAAAGAGAACACAGACTTGCAACAGATGCTTTGTGTTCTTATTGCATTGTTTTTTCTGAGTGCTGCTTGGCCTTCTGGTTCCTTGATTGTTCTCAGTACTTTAATCACAGGCATTCCTTTCATTAATGTTTCTTTTTTTAACCTTCCTTAAACTGAAACTCTCTGCAAAATTAATTATATGTTTATGTTGCTAGTAGGTAATTAGTGTTAGCCATCCTGCTGTGTGATTTATTTGGTAGGTTTCCTAGTAAATATACTGGACTTGACTAGCAAATGTTACCTATGCATTGTAGTATCTCTAAATATGATGGTACATTTCACAGGAGAACCAGCATGCTATTTTGTGTAGCGTTTAGTAATTGCTGGAAGTAAAGGATATGAACCAAAAAAGACATTTTGATTACAGGTAGCTTTTCAAGAATAGACTAAAATTGTTAGAAGGGAAATGTTTCCAGTGAGTGAAAGAAAGCAGGGATACAACAAAAGAGATATGTCATGGATAGATTCTCAGAAAATCATTTGTAGATTTAAGCAATATTTGGTCACTGGACTTTCATTCGAAGATAGGCAGATTCACTGTTTTTAGTCATGGCAAGTTTTTGCTTTTTGACAATGGTTTGCTGTTGCATTTTCCATCATACATGGACTCAAAATATATAGTTCCATTGCCCAGCTACAAAGTTGACTGCATGATGTGACAATGAGCTGTGGATTTTATTTAAAATGCTTTTCAGCTGTGCCCAAAGTAGTTAGCTTTGTGAAAAGCAGATTCAGAAATGAATTCAGATGAATGGCCTGTTGCCACAGAATTTGTGGTGCTTTATGTTGATTAATTTGAGTATACAACTACTGATTTATTATAACTGCTGCTTCCATCAATGATAAACTGCATTTCTAGTGCCGGACTGTTTGTGTTGGTACTTTTGATGGCGGTCTTATGCATTTCATGTATGTGTGTGCTATTGTCTTTACTGAGCCTGCAGTCCGTCAATTATTTCACAAGGGTCAGTGATGGGCATTCTGTGGGGCTCCTGCTGGCACAGGAATGAAGTAACTGTGGGGGGACCATTTTGCTGTGAAGCTAGAACTGCAATTACTTGATATTAGATCATTGTAACATAGCAGAAATTAAACTGTTTTAATGAACACAGTAGTCTAGATCAGTTCCCTGTACTGGTAGGTTTGATTTATTTTCAGCCTTTATGGCACTGGGATTAGCCTAATTACTTTTTTCATTATATTCTAACAAAAATGAACCCAGAGGTCGACCACACAGAAAATGGACCGCAGAAATATCAGAGACCCTGGAAAGTACTATATATGAAACGAACAGTAGGGTCCGTTCTATAGATTTCTTCCTTCCTTGATGCCGCAAAGCATTTCAGGAGTAGAGAAAAGAAAGAAGAAGAAAAAAAGAAGGAAAACTGTTGTAGAAAAAGCCTTATGATGCGGTGTTGAGCACGGGTTATCATAATTTCATTTGGATAAGTTTATGTGTGCTCTGATCACCTCTGTAATAAAGCTGTCATCTTATGGCAACTAACAGAACAGTTTGGTGATGAGTGACACACATGCTTATGATTTCTGGGCACTTCAGCCTTCAGTTCAAATGTAATGTTTTCTCATGCACTTATTTATTGTACCCTGTTTGATTGTTAAAAGTTGGTATTAGCATTGCTGATTTTAATATACTGGGTATTGTGTTTGGCTGGGTGTTATAGCTGTTATTTAAAAGTTATACACTAATTCACAGATGAGGCCAGCGTTATATTTGGTGAAAGAATCAAAGCCAACATCGCATTGGATATGGCAGCCAAGATGAGAGAAGATCCGCTCTTTGCCATCAGGTTTGTTTGTTATCAGATTGATTTTGCTGTTGTATTTTATGTGGCTTTATTAACTTTTTTGCCCCGGGAACCACAAATCAGGCACTTTCAATAGGGTCACCCTAGAATGCTGCTTACCCGTCATTTCTACAGTGATATATTTAAGTGAAGCAACACTACTGCGCTTAGGGCAGACATGGAAGACTGGGTGCTGGGTATCATTAGATACACATCTGACATGTCTCTTCGGTTGTGGCATGGTGATTTAGGTCACAGTTGGGAGAAAACATTAATGCCATTGTGATATGTATAACACATAGCCTTACTTCGGGCAGCCAAATGGCACAAAATCACAGCTATGTTGTAAACAGACACAATGCATTCACCTTAGGCTAGCAAATGATGAAGAAGAAGAAGATATCTCAGTGATTCACATGTATCACTAGCACTAGCCAACGCCAAGAGCATACAGATTATCTGGCAGACACTGTCTTGTTATGACACCTGGTGTTTGACAGAAGCGATGTCATCATTGCCATACGCAGCACTTATCATGAAGACGAATATAGCTATTGATGTGACTCCATATCCCTAACCAGGCTGATGGACATGAAGGTTCAGCCTGGAGCTGCAAGAAAATTAACATTTCACCAGAGGACACAAAATATTTTATTAATCAACTCAGAACAGGCACTATCAGTCATTTTATGCTTGCGGAGCTATTGAAGAGGAGATTAGAGCACCTGTGGATCTGTCCAGAGTGCTCTGATGATAATCCTCACTGATCACTAATTAATCTAACCTGTCATTGCCATGGATCCCGCAGTCATTCATTTGTGACTTTATACATTATTGGTTGTGAATCACATTGCATTGTTGTCGTTGCCACCTTTCACGACTTCCTCTGAAATATATACTGATGTGTGAAGGTAGTAATTTAAATGGAATACATTCTTATGGAAATAACAAAAACATATGTATCAGGTGACTCCTTCTGGGACCTGTATCACTGAGGCTTATGGGAAAATTTTCAGTCAGCTTAGTTTAGAAAAAAAATTATTTGGTTCAAATGAAAAACCTCCCTAAATGCTGTTGTTAGTACATGTATTTATATCCTGACCTGAACATTGTGGAGGTACGAAAACGGAAGTAGCATTAACCATCTTTTTCATAATGAGGTCAGTATAGACAAGTCGAGAAAGTGTTTACAAAAAATTAGACCCACCTGGAAGTGTCAGTTTTGAGTCTTCCCAGACCGAAAGGTATGATTATAAGGGATGACACGAAGCAAGCTGCTGGGTATGGCAAAAGACAGAAGGGCTTTATATGGGTTGAGAGCCTATGCTCCAGTGGAAGAATAAAAGGAAAAAGCAGGTGATTGTGGCTATGACAAAATTGCTCATCTAACGTTATCATTTACTCCCAAATGGAAGTAACAGAAGTTTAAAGGTTGTTTACGTTGGTTCAGCAGGGTTGAAAATATCCTTGACTGAACAGCAGAGAAATAACAAGCTTTGTGTTTTCCCCAAGAAGTCACTCTCAGAGATATAACCATTGGTTTCAGATGCATGTACCGAAACTACAGATATTACAAATTGTAGGCCATAAAACTGTTCAATAAACAGAGTCTACAAAAAATATAAGTTGTTACTGGTCAGGAAGTGTCAATACATAATGTAACTGCTCAGCAATATCCTCCACATTCGTTTAACCTTGAACCAGCCAATTTCTTTTTCTTTTTTTTTTTTCTACATCCAATTGGCACTGGAAAAAAGGCAACATTTAAAAGATGTAGCATTAATGTGACAGTATGCTGAAAGCGTTAGTTGAGGTTCCAACTTCACAGCAGACGAGTCGCCCAGTAACTGTTCCATTCCTGTGTAAATGGAAATCACAGAATATGTCCTTCACTGTACCATTTGAAAACTAGGTGCTTTATTAATATCCTACCCCAAACGGGAAATCCACAGGTCACGGGACAGTCTAATATTTCAGGGGGTGGTAGATAGGCTGCATGCAATCATGGGGCCTTGGCTGCACTCTCTCATGGGACGTAGGTAGGTTGGGGTTAGGGCCAGTTCCAGATGTTTTGGGGTCGTTAAAAGCATCAGAAAGCCGGGAAACCCAGTCTTACCACACTCTAAAATGTTGGACTGTCCTGTGACGTTATCTGGGGTAGGATATTAATAAAGCACCAAAAACATACCAGTCTCAGCAAAATCTTGAAGCTTGAATGTGACAGAAATTTTAAAGAACTAGTTCTAGAAGTGTAACCAATTTTTGTATGGACACTGGCAGAATTTTGTTGTGCTGAAAGAATCTGTTTTGAAGGAAATGTAGTGAAAATGTTTATATTGTTATTAATTTGTATACAACCCAAAAACTAGTGAAACTACCACATGTATACAGTATGTATAAATATTTTTTTTTATTACATGTCTATCACTTGTTGTTAATATTTTATATGAGGGTGTTTCTTTTACTTTGTCCTCAGACGTAAAGAAGAGGAGTCCAGGAAAAAACTTCTGGAAAATCCTGTCAAAATGAAGGAGCTCCAGAAACTGGTAAAGAGATTGAATTAATTCAGTTTTACCATTTTCAGTTCACTCGCAAACAAAATTGCAATTATATTTTCACACATTTGGATACTGTCTTATACTAACAGGTGTTTAGTTCTAAGTTTTACTTTGCTACCCCTTGTCCTCAGCTTTGCTGCCTTCCATGAATGCTGTACAACATACTGATAGTTTAAGGTATAGGTTATTCCATGATCATAGCAAAGGTTATTCCATGGTCATAGCAATGTGGCCAGCACACATACTAGATTGTAGATGTATGCAATAGAATGAACTCATCTTTGCAAGCTTTCTGATATCCATTTGCCAGGCAGACAAGACCCCAGTGCTGTGTACTGGTTAGAAATAAACTAATGGACTCTGATATTTTGAAGAAACACTAACCATTGCATCAGGGTGCTGCTCTGCTCCAGGTACCACTGTGGCAGTTTCGAGAACTTTTTTTTCTTAAATACATCTTTAACCACCAGGCCCAGGCAGCTTGTCTGTAAAATAAAAAATGTTAAAAGTCGAGATGATCGACTTCATTGCATCAAGTTATATCCCATATGGCACTGTCTCCCTCTACAGATCGGCTAGCTGCCTGCCAAGAGTGGAGCAGAAAGCTCGAATGATGCAGTTGTGAAATGAGCCCATGATCTTTGGACTGAGGAGGCAGGCGGCTTGACCACTACTTCACTATGGAGTTGCTTCTGTATAGCTTCAGTTAATGGTCAAAGTAAATGACTTTTTCACGCCACTGGGTACATCGGGCATATGATGCTAGGCTCATGTTTTTATAGACCAATCAGTCCTTCGTTTGTGGTGGGGCCCAACTTTACTTCACAGGACTTTACCTAGTACCTATTTTAGGCTAGGTCAGCCTGGGAGCCAAGGTCATTTCTTAAAATAAACAGGATGGTGAACTGAACACAAGACCTTTGGGTCTGAGGCAGAGCATCTATCCTCTATACTACTGCGGCTTAGGCCTCGAGTATTACTGTTTATATGTTTGTCGATTTGTTATAATTGTGCTTGTTAAAATGTTACTTATTATTTGTCCTTATAGATTGAACAACAACAGAAGCTGAAAGAGAAAAAGAAGAAATCTAAGAAAAAAAATAAGAAACACAAGAAGTCTAAGAATTCTGATGACAGTGATGATGATATTATGGCAAAATACTTGTCGATTCTTACTTCAAAAAATCACAAAGAAGAAAGTAGTGACAAGAAGAAAAGACATCATCAGAGCAAATACTCTAGTCATGATGATGAAAGTGGAGAAGAAGATTTGAATCGACACAGACAAGACAAAATGTCATGTAGCACCGACAGGCACTCAGGTACAACTCAGAACAGAAAAACTCAGGAAGACAGCGAAAGTAACAGGCGTCTGTACAGTAGAGGCAGTGAAGTGAAACACAAAGATTCATGGACAGACAGAAATAAATCTCCATCTAACAGTTACAGTCCTGTTCGTGAAAGACAGAAGAAAGATCATAGTCGAGGCAGCAGAACTAATAGCAGAAACATTGATTCCGATGTTGATGATGACAGAGAAAGGAAGAGAAAAGATAATAATATGGGCTTCAGAGAAAATAAAAAATACAAAAACAGTAAGGATAGTAGTGCAAGTGATGACAGTAGAACAAAGTCACCGGGTAAAGCATCAAAACGAAGAGATGATAAAACTTGGCATAAAACTGTAGAAACTTACAAGGATAGAAAGGAATTTGCAGAGGAAAGATCGAGTAGAACACAGAATGTGAAAGGTAGGACTTCTGAATCGCAAATGCAGAGAAAAACATTTGTCAGTGATGAAGGTAATTCATCAGATGTCGAAAGTCCAACCACGGGTTACTTAAAAAATCCAGAAAAAAATGGGAATGCAAAGACTCATCTCAAAACTAAAAGAAAGCATAGATCATCTTCGTCATCCTCTACCTCAAGTGAAAGATCAGATCATGAAAAAAAGAAAGTGGTCTCAGGCTCAAGGCAGTATGGGCTCATAGTAAGTTTACTGTTTGATCAAGTTTTATATGCTAGGTCGGTCTTTTTACTGATTGGTCAAGTTTTATGTGCTAGACTTTTTCACTATTTGATGGAGTTTTGTATGCTAGGTCCGTCTTTTGACTAATTGATCATTTTATGTCAGCCTTTTTCTTTGTTCTTTCTCATATATCTTAGAAGTTTCCAGACCTTGAGTTTCTCTCATCTGAATGAGAAAGTTGACTTGTTTCATTCTCTCTCTTATAAACCGTGTCTTACTGAAATAGTTGACTGTTTGATTCTCTCTCATCTAGCCGCATCTGACTTAGAAGGTTTACTGTTTCATTCTCTCTCATCTAACCACGTGTAAATTAGAAAGGAGAGGTAACTGTTTCATTCTCTCTTACAAACTTAAAAAGCTGACTGTGGTGACTGTTTCATTCTCTTTCCTGTAATCATATTCTTTCTCATAAAATTACAGCTACCAATCTTAGAAAATTATGTTTCTTTCTGTCTCTTATAACCACATTTGACTTAGTTGACTGTTTCATTCTCTCTCATCAAACCACATATTACTTAGAAATTTTTTTTTTCATTATCTCATATATAACCACACCTAGCTTAGAAAGCTGACTGTTGCATTCTCTCTTATATACCCACAGCTATCAATATTAGAAGGTTGACTGTCCACCTCAGGTGTTTCTGGCATATATAAATGATGTCTGTCCTATAAAGTTGGCATTGCATCCTAACCCTGGCACCCTGTGAAGCTGCAAACCCCACATTTTCATTGTTGCCTCATTCCCATAAACACAGCAAAACGGACCTTTTCTGAGAAGCGTTGCTTAACATCTTTGGTTCCCCTCATGCCTGAGCAGCAGTTAGAAGGCCAGTGTATGAATATATTCACTAAAAGTATCATTTGGGGGAAAAGAGGGGGGGGGGGGGGTCGAGTCTTATGAACCAAAAAGCTTTTTTAAACACCAAATTGATGTCAAATTTTCTCATTACCTCAGGGATAGGGGTCACATCGTGAGACACCCGGTACATATTTTTATACCCTAGAAAAATATTCCATTTAATGCTTCACTTTTGTCCTATTTATCGAATACTTTTTTTTATATATTTGTTAACCCTGTGGGGAAAATAAGAATAGACCCACTCTCTACCCAGAAGCATGTCGTAAGAGTCAACTAATCAGGGGCTTCCTTCGAAGTCGAAGTGCATCAGCCTCAAAGGCAAGGAACCAACAATCTGCATACAAATAAGTCAGATCTGTAAAATGGATGTGCATGCAACAACACTCAGGTTCAGAACAAGATTGAAGTCAAGAGATGGACCAGAACTTTCTGCTGGAGTTTACAGCCGGTGAACGTGAAGATATATTTGAGGGGGAAATATAAAATTGTAGAGTAATATCTTTTTTTTTTAAATGTATTACTGACCTGTGTAAAACGTTTAATTTTTGTAAACAGATTGTCGGGGGGAGGGGGACTTCAACAGATTTGCGATCCATTTTGTTTAGCATTTGCAGGGAAATAGGGCTCAGTTTTTCTCAGCTGTAGCCATGTCCACTCCTGACCACACTTGGGTTAGGGGTGACCATGTCTTTGATTTGCAGCTCTTATAGAGTGAATTCTTTGATGGCATGCTTTACTTTCTTCTACTGATCCGTATTGATATGTCCAATCATGTGTTTATGCGTCGGTCTGGCAAGTAACCGCGGCTGGCGAGATGTTGATTACATAACCCATGGAGAGCTGATTGGTCAGTTCTATTGAGGTGTTTCGCCCCATCTCGTCCGGCATGAGATTTTGTAGGGAATTCCCTGTGAAAGTTCAACAGTCTAGGGGTGTTATGACCTGCCTTCGAAGTACCCACTTAAGACTGGATCGACCTGGGAGCCAAGATCATTTTTGTTTTAAAGTCCATCTCCGTTCGGATTTGAACTCATTACCTTAGGATCTGCAGGTGAGTGTCTAGTCACTACTACACGACTGCTGCTCCATATTGCCATACATATATCTAAAGCTTAAGATTGGTGAAAAATCTTGACTGCCCCTGTAGGCAGTAAACAAACATGTGACAAAAGAAGCATTGAAATGCAGTGTCTCATTTTTTTGGGGAAAAACATTTTTGTTTTGTTCTTCACAGGTTTCTAGTTCAAGCCAGACAGTTGCTAAACCCAGGCAGCAGCGATCACCATCTCCGGTACAGACTTCCTATAAAACTAGCTCAGTCAGAACTACACAAACACGAAGAGCGCCATCACCACCTCGAAGGTTTTCAGTCTTTTCTAATTTTAAATATCAGTAGTTATATGCAGTCTTTATTCACATTATGCTTCTTCTTCCTTTTCTCTAGTTCCTGTTCTACCTTTCAGCATTAGGTTTTCTTCTTCTTCTTCTTCTTAGCATACACTGGCAAAAAGTTATGGTTTTTCTTCCACTTCTGAACTTCGGTCTTGTTTCGGAACATGAGTTCTCCGTGCACATCCATTTTACTGATCAAGGTTATTTTTTGTGCAGACTGTTGGTTCTTCACCTGTCAGTCAGATTCACTCTGAATTTGAAAGAAACACCTCTAATTAGTTGACTTTTACAACATGGTTGTTAGGGAGGGCAGTAGGCCTACCCCCCTCCCCCCACACACACACACACACACAATGGGGCCCAGGAACCCATACAGGAACAATTGTTATCATATTATGATTCTTCTTTTCTTTAATCCAGCAGGTTTGTGTCTACTTCTTACTTTGCATCCACAATAAATTAATTATTTGTTCATGCCACAATATTTTACTTCACTTTCTGTTCCACTCCAGTAAGTGATCAGAGTAATTCTGGTGTTTGCCTTTTTCATGAACAAGTAACAGTCTTCAGAATCTGCTTACTGGTCATTGCAGTTCTGGAGGTGCTGTAACTCAAGATTTTCTAGTAGTTTTGTTGATTTATCCACGATTAGAAATTTTGATGTGCCGCAGAAGTATTGTCATCAGTACCATAAATCGAGCCATGCGGAAGCCACCCATCGTTACATAAACAAGAATGGAAGGGGAGTTGTCGACCTAAAAATCACTTGGAGACATACTCAGGAGATGATCAAAACACTTGTGGTCATGTCTGATGTGCGATGGAGATGATCTTTAAATGAACTATGAAAAAATCCAGCCATGAGCCAGCTAGATCCTGATGGTTTTACATTTTGTGTTTCGCATCCTCTTTCTTCTTCTTCTTTTGTCCTTCTATCTCCCAGTGGAGCATAGGCCTTAAACCAACTCACGGCAAGTCGTTCTATCCTTCGCTATTACATAGAGCTTTCACCATGTCCTCACCATGTTTCTAACTTCATTTTCCAGCTCTCTTCTCTGTTTTTTTGCCTTCCTTTATTCCTATGCCTCTGTGGGTTACAATGCAAAGACATTCTAGTTATGCTGTTCTCCGGTTTTCTCAATGTGTGTCCTATCCAAGGCCAGCGTCTTTTCCTCACCTCTTGGTCCACTGCAGCTTGCTTAGTTCTCTCCTAAAGCTCTTCATTAGTTTTTCTATCATACCATTTAATTCCCTCTATTCTGATTCCCTCTATTCTGCGCAGGCACCAGTTAATGAATGTCTGTAATTTATTAGTAATTGTCTTAGTTGTTTTCTATGTTTATGCTTCATAGAAAAGTACTGATTTTACATTAGAATTAACAATTTTAAGTTTAGTATTTCTTTTAATTTCTTTTGACTTCCACAAATTCCCTTATTTCGCATCCTCTTTGCTCAGACTTTATTAGTTTTGTAATTCTATTTTGCGATGTGGATTATACATTTTCGAAAAATATCCCAAATCTGCAACATTTAGTAACCTTAACTTATGCCCCTGTCTATGGTTGATATATCAAAATTACAGAGATTAATTTATTTCTCACCTAAACTATGTTCATTATTTTTTTTATACAGGAAATTAACTGAAGAAGAAAAGCAGAGAAAATTGGAAGAGATGTCACAGAATGCAGTATGGAGAGAAGAACAGAGAGAAAGTAATGTGAAGAGGTACAGAGAAGAAGAGCAGCAAAGAGAGAAAAATGAAGTCAGGCCTAAAGAAGGTGGTTTTTTGAGGTGAGTCTGTTCATTTCTTCTTATTCTACGTCACTTCTTTTTGTGCAGCTTCGGGTGTCAAGGGAAATATCACGTTCTGGTTTCTGCTCTTTTGGCTGCCTTGACTGTAGACTCCACAGACCTATGATGGTCAGATTTACACTTTTTGTTGGTCCCCTGATTATCCTAAAGAGGTGTAGAGAGAATGTGAGCAGTCTGCATGCTTGATGAACGAACCAGATTGTAGAGATCATTCTTAGGTCCATAGACTTCCTGCATAGAGTTGGCGGGGGTGGAGGGGGGGGGGGGGGTGTGTGGGGGGGGGGGGGGGGTTGTGGGTGATGAAGAATGAAGCCACTGCCTCTTTAACAAGCATGTGTAAAGTGACTAATTAGGGGTGTTTCCTTCTATTCTAAATCTGAGTCCATCTGCCTGAGAGACAAGACAGACACCAGTAGTCTGCGTACAAATCAGCCAGATCTGTAAAACAGGTGTGCATGCACAACTCAAGTTCTGGAAGTCCAGATCACAGGAAGCGAATCAACTATGGGGTGACCCGTTTGCTATGAAGCTGAAACTAAGATTACCAGTGCACAAACAACCAGAACTGTCCACCAGCGAACGCTAAGAAGAAGATAAAAGCAGCTCATATCTTTTGTTCATTCTTTGGTCTGGGCCACTAGGGACTGCAGTTCTTTTTGCTGGGTTCTCATGGCTGCAGGATTTCATTTTCTTCCTTTGTTATTTTATTATTGTTAATTGGATTAGATATGCTTTTGATAGCAGAAGGTTGTGAATTGTGAGTGCCTTTTTATATTATAGTCCAATGACAGTGAGTCGTCCAGGAATTCAGTTTCTGTGTAATTTTGTTGTTGTTAGTTGGATTAGATATGGTTTTGCTAGCAGAAGACTAAAAATACTGTTTTTTTAAATTCTGCAGTTCAGTGATGAGTCATCCAGGAATTTATTTTTTCTTCAGTTTATTGTTATTAATATAAGGTTTTGTTAGCAGGGGACTGTAATTACCTTTTTATATATATATACATATATATATTCTGCAGTTCAGGGATGAGTCGTCTAGGAATTCATTTTGTTTCTTTATTTTATTGCTGGTAAATGAATTAGATTTTGCTAGCTGAAGACTGACTACCGATTGTATATTCCACAGTTCAATAATGATGAACCACGCATCCTCCAGCTCAGTGGAAGATCGTCTGAGAAGAAATAAATATAACATACAGAGAACCCAGGTTGATTTGGACAAGAATTTCACACAGAAATAAGGAAGCCTTATTAAAACTCCCAGCAGCAAGTGATAAATGATTGTTCCAAAGGGTAAGGTTTTTTGAAATACCTGCTGTCTCTGCGTAAATGTAACCTACCTCCAGTGACAAATATCTGCTGAGTTGCTGTGAATAAGCCAGGTTTGATCAGTTTTTTTTTTTAAAAACTGGATATCATCTTGGCAAATCTGATATGATTTTTTTCCCAACTTGATGCTACTAGTGTCAAACATGGTCTCTTTCTACAGTCATCAACATCATGCAGCAGACCTTTGCAGAATGTTACTGTCATCATGGTCTGCCTGAAAACAAACTCGGTCTCTAGCCAGTTCTCCTGCCTCATGCACTTTCATATTCAGAGAGTTGCATATCGTGCCCATATTCGTGTTGGTTGACCCCTGCCCCTCCTTCCTGGTGCTTTACCTTCTGCTGTTAATTTTTTCAAATCCACTGTGATGCTTGATATGATAGAGAAAGTGAAGAAGAAGATACCTTATTCATTTTATTCTCAGAAACCTCTTTGACATTTCGGTCGAATATTGAGTAATAATTGCATCATTTCGCTATCACTGCTACCAGCAGGTTTGAATAAAAACAAATTATAAATATCTTGTTGAAGTCTTGTAGATTTGTAAAAGGATTTCCACTACATTTCTGTTTGTTTCATATTCATTCATTATTCAGAGTATGCTATGTTGATCATGACTCTCAGCCATGGACGGATAGAGTCTGGAAAGGACACAGAATGACGCTTTATACATTATACTTTTGTGCACAAAGTTATGAGGAGAAAGACATTTTTCTTCTGTGTCAATATTTTGTTTTGTGCTGCTAGGCATCATGGTTTAACAGATAGGAAGCCGAGCCAAAGCGCATTTGGAATACTATGATGTTGTATGCCATGTTGTCATTAAGTTTGTTTACATGAGGACACAAAACCTGGTGGAGAACAAGTCCTAAAAAAGTGCCATAAAACCTTTTTAGTGTGCAGACAGAAAGGACAAAAAGTTCAGAGTATACTCAGTAATTATAGGGACAGACGTTCCAACAAAAAAAAAAATTTAACAATTCTTCTATTGATGATACAGTCATTTGCATAAATTGATCTGTTGTTATTTACATATATTGATCTGCTGTTTGACACAGATTGATCTGTTGTTTGACACATACACTTTTACCCAGGCTGGAGAAAGGACTGTGGTGCTTTTGCCTGAACTACAGATAGCATACTTTCCCAGTAACTGAAAGAGTATACACAGGAAGATAGAGATGGGCTGTGCTCAAAGATGGTGGTTGAAATCTCTTATGTGATCCAGCTTACACAAATCAGTTTAATGTCTGTGCCAGGGTATGCTGGTGTAAGAGGAAATGAACCACAGGCTTGCTGATGACGCTACTGTGTATAGAAGCGGTGTGATAAAATGAATCTAGAGACTGAATTAAGAACCTAAACCAGACAGCAAGAATAGCAAATTAAAAAGGGGTGAAGCCAGGCAGAGATGCTACAGGGCAGATCAAAAACCAATACACAACTGCTGTTATTAATCACTATCCCCTGGGGAGGAGCTCAGTGAAGAATAGTAAACCAATACAGAACTGCTGATATTAATCACTATTGGCCGGGAAGGAGATCCAGGCAGGTGCAAACTGAATGGTTTGACGGGGAGATGTTGAGCACATCATCTTCTTCAAGCTCACCGGCTGTAAACTCAGTTGGAAAGTTCTGGTTGTTCATCCACTTCTGGACTTTAATCACGTTCCAGAATTTAAGTTTTACATGCACATTCATTTTACGAAACTGGCTTATTTGTACTCAAACTGTTAGTTTCTCCCACATACTTTTTTTTTCTTTCAAAAATGACCTTGGCTTCCAGGTCACCCTGTCCTAAATGGGTACTAGGAAAAGTCCTGGAAAGTAGAAGTGGCTCAGTTGGAAAGTTCTGTTTGTTCATTCACTTCTGGACTTCAATCACGTTCCAGAATTTAAGTTTTACATGCACATTCATTTTACAAAACTGCCTTATTTGTATGCAGACTGTAAGTTTCTCGCCACTGAGTCAGGTGCACTCCAAACTTGAAGGAAATGCCCATAATCAGTCAAAAAAAATTTTGTTGACACACTTGTTAGGGAAACCGTGGGTCTATTTTTTGTTCCTCCCCACAATGGAGACCCAAAACAACTCAGAAAGTTGGAGCTGAGGGTTAAATGTTAAATTAAGAATCAACATCACAGCACTCAGAAACACCCCCCATAAGTGCTCCATCCCCATCTCCAGCAGCAAGCGAAGAGTAAAAATTCCGATGGTACCAGTAACCGTCTGATTGAATATCCCTCTCACATTTCCCTTGAGTGTCGAGCATAGGCCAGATCCCCTTGTAACTCCTCGCAGTGCCATTTTCCGCAGACAGTAATGATCTATCTGTTCCTCTGCACTGTTCACTTGCTCCCAAGGGGCCCTCACAACATCCAGCTTGTCATTCATCAGTTCACCATTAAGTGGTGCAGAATCGACCAGTCTATCTGCCTGCTCATTTCCCAACACACCTGCATAAACTGGAGAAAATATTTAAAGGATGCTAACTACCTAGGACCTCTGAAGTGATTCTTGCGGAGCTGAGGGTATATACAGAAACATTAACTACTGAAACCATATTGGGGGAGAGCACAGCATATTACACTGGAAAGAGTGGTCTGGGTTTAATTAGAAAAATAACACTAAGACTGGAAAGAAGATGTTAGATAGTATTTCAAGCGAATCGAATAACAGAAGAAGAAGATAGTTCAATCTCGATGGAAGATAGGATATGCTGGGGATACAGTGCAGCTGACCTTCGCTGTGAAGACGGTAACTTATATGAATGTTTACACGTAGAGTTGACGGAGCCAGTTTTGTTGTTGTTAAATGACCTTGCTTCCAGGTTACCCAGTGATAAATGTGTACCAGGTAAAGTACTGGAAAGTAAAGGCAGCTCAGTGTGATGCTGACATCATCCACCTAGTGCCGATTGGTCTATAATATATAGGCCTAGCCCTATGAGCCTAATATGACCCAAGGCATGGAAAAGGGTCCTTTACACATACAGTAAAACCTCGTTAACATAAATTCAAAGGGACCCAAAAACCGAGTACATTAAAAAAAAATGTGTTGTTGTTGCTAATCAGGTACTAAAAACCATAATACATCCCTGCGGGAACCAAAACTTTGTTCATGTTAACCAAGTGTTCTTCTTCAGTGAGTTCATGTTAACAAGGTTATACTGTACATTTGCATGTAAACAATTAACAGAATTCAACAACCATATAGTGTTAGCTTCACAGATTTAATAACTTAAAACTGTAACAGCGTTTTCTGTATGCAGAACTAAACATTAAAATATTATCACATGAACTCAAAACTGACACTTTCATAACAAAGTTGAAATTGTATCTAGCAGGTCAACAGCTAAATAAATACACACATTTTTACATATAAAGACAAAAGTATACGCTACTTCTACATTAGCAACAGTAGTGAACCAGAGGGTCTGGCCGGCTGACTACACTCAGAGGAAAGACAAGACGGACATATAACCAGATTGTGACTGGTACCATCAGTATTGGAACTCTGCACTGGCTGCCGAAGATGAGGACGGAGCACACATGGGAATGCCCCGAATGCTGTGATGTCAATTCTTGACTCAACTCAACTAGCAACATTATTACTATAAGAAAAAAGTATCTTTCATGCAAAAAACTGATCATTATCATTGTTCAGGATGTTCTACAGATTCAACACAATCTCACACCATTCTTTAACAATAAAAATGGATAAAACTGCTTTACAATCCTAGGCTATGATAGCCAAAATGAGAATCAAATAAGTTTTCTTCAATCTTTTTACACCCATGGACTGGCAGACGGGAAATAGTTTACTAGCTAACAAAAATAAAATATTTCTGATAGCAATTTATTTGTTAAATGTGATGCTACAAAATTACAATTTTCAGGTCATGCAACATCTGTTGCTGGTTAGAAAATCTATGTAGCAATGTAATGTAGAAATCATATATAGCTGCAACATGATTAGTCTCACCAGCTCTCCCGCCTCATGTACTTTCATACTCAAGGAGTCACTTATATCCTGTACCCATCTTTGTGTTGGTCGGCCCCTGCCCCTCTTTCCTGGAACCATGAAGAAAACTTATCACAAATACCAAAATGAGACATCACCTTTGGGCCACAATATGATAAAAGAACAAATGAAAATGTTGAAACATTTGGAAAGAGAGATACAGGAAGACAGTGAGAGAATATTGTTGACAACCTTTTGTCGTGGCATGGAATGGTGTCAGCACACAAACTGATTCATGCTGTTGGAGAAAGGATGTGGAACATGACTGCCCAATAAAGTCCACAAGACACGTGATGATGATGCTGGCAAGCTAGTAAAGATTATTTAGTTTTTCCAATAAATAATGTTTCTTAGCACATACTCAGGCAAGCAATGATCATGACAGCAATAATAAACTCACTGTTCACCTAATTTTAGAAGCTTTAACAAATACAATATAACCCTATTTTACATAATTCCAATGTGAAGTGGTACAAAAAGAAAATATATCCATGAAAACTGGAAATATTTTTGCGAGCTGAAGTTTGCTTGCAAAATTGATTAAAACCTTTGAATTGTACAAGTATGTCTCGGTAAGTGTAAATATGACTGATTCATGAAAAAGTCCACACAATGAAATGTCTGGTATCTATGCTGCTTGACAATCTGTGCACGTTAAGAGATGGAAGACTCTTGACTCTGTTTTAATTGGGCTTTCCGTTTAAACTCAGCTTCACCTTCTTGCTGTGCTTGTTGCTGTATTCTGCGCTTCACGTCCATGATAGCTTTCCTATTTTCAGCAACAGAGTTTCGAGCAGCAACAAAACTATACAGCCCCACAGCAATGATTACTGACCTATAGGGAAAAGAAAGCAGTTCAAACATTCAGTAAATAAAGCAATGAGCTGG